TGCTCGGCACTCTGACAGTATAACAGCCATCAATTTATTCCTGATCTCAAGAAGAGCAAGTATCATACATACAAGAAGTAGTTTAAGTTGGAGAGCATTTCCATATAATATTTCTTCTGAAGTTTTTAATGAATTCTTAGAAAAAATGAAAAGTTTCATATTGACACAAAGAGATCATAATTCTCCTTTTCATGGTATTTACATTCATGCCAATGTAATAGGTCAATTATTTTGGGTTTACAATTATAGAATCGCAATTTACAAGATATTTGAAAGAATGATTCCTTCAGCTCTAGAATTATGTCTAAGTTTCATAAAGTATCGATTCATCTTTGTAACGGATCCAAATCAAATCGGAGAGAATGATGTGAGTGTACAAGAAATCCAGATCACTCGAAACCATAGTATCACTCCATATCCAGAAGACGCCCCCTACACTGGCTCAGTAGTGGAACATAACATATTCCAAGCACTTCAAGAAGCAAATCGTAGTTTATTCACCAACAGTCATCGCTCCAGACTCGTTCCAACTCCAGTTCTTTTGTCCTTTGGAGCAACATCACTAAGAGCATCCTTTTATACAGATGACGGAAGAGCAAGAGACACGCGTGGGGAACCCTTAATCATCCCCGCTCCTCATACAGTAATCGGACAAGAAAACAATCCATTTGACATGGAAGATGACGACGTCTCCGATTTAAGAGCAAATAGTCCTCCACCTGCTGAAGACAGTGACCGGTCACCACAAACAACACCGACAAACACCCCCCCACGAGCAGTCAGTCCACCTCCAACAACATCAACATCAACAATCACAGTCACAGTCACATCATCATCAACTGTCAGTTCACCCGCAACAACATCAAACAACGCAAACAACATCCCTCATCCCTCCCCAAGTAGCTCTAACACTAGTCCTGAATACAGTGACAGTGAAGAATGGACAGAGGATGAACCAATAAATCAAGTACCACTAAATCAAGCACCCAATCGTCGCTTAATTCGTTGTGGAAATCCACGCTGTAAGCACCTAAACAGAAACCAGGACTGTCCCCATGTCACCAGATGTGTGAATCCTAATTGCCAGCACAGACGTTTAGTGGAATGTTGTATCAATGACATTGTACACACAGAAACCGGAGCTATCCCTGGTCCTTCTATTAACTCTGTCTTAGCCAAAGATGATGTTGACATTGAATACTCAAACCCCAAGTAGCTTTAACCCTAGTTTTCTATTAACTCATACTAGGTAGAGACTGTGAACACTTTTAGGAAATAGGTTATGAGAAGTTGTGACGTAGCCCATTATTCTCTATTAAAAGTCACGTGTAAAATCCGAGTGTTGTGATTGGTTGATGTGTCACGTGTATTGAATGGGGTCCTCTCATTGGTCAGTTCGTATATACCGCTGTGCTATACTACTCTTGTCACCTGTTCTTGTCAAATAGCCCAATTTATCTAGTTTCATTTGCCATTTTGTTATATTTGATGCCTCAGATGTATTCTCTACATTCATGTTTGTTAATTTATTGTACACATTATTTAACTCCAGGTGTTTATAAGAGCATATGGCTTCAGCTGTCCCCACTTCAACTTCTACAGCCATATCAACAACATCATTTTATGGGACAAGGGGTAGGGCCCAGCACAAAAGACGTCATTTTCAAGTTATTGAACCAAATTTTGATGGAAGTGACACGGAGAGTAACTTTGAGGAAGATGAACCAGCCAACATTGAAGATGCAAGTGAATATGAAGAGTCCAGTGATGACTCAAATGAAAGTGATACTGACCTGAATGGTGACAATGATGAAACTGCTGATGATAATAGCATGCCTACAGGAAAATCTGCTAGTAATGCAGTGCATAGTCAAAATATGCGATGGTGCAAGCGGCAGCCTGTTCATTATGATGTAGCATTTAAAGGTGAGCCTTTCCCTCCACCACCATTAGAAGAGTACACACCTTTACAGTATTTCAAGCAGTTTTTTGACAATGCCCTGATAGATCACCTTGTCGAACAGACAAACCTGTACTCTATGCAGTCAACAGGGAACTCAATTGCTGTGGATCATGATGAAATGGAGATGTACTTGGGATTATTGGTTATGATGTCAATCATCAAGTTACCACAGATTCGTATGTATTGGTGCAAGGAAACTAGAATTCCTTCAGTGGCAGATGTCATGCTAGTAAACCGTTTTGAGAAAATAAAGCAGTTTTTTCATTGTAACGATAACACCAAAAACTTGCCAAGTACAGACAAGGACTATGACAAACTTTTCAAAGTTAGACCTGTAATTGAGTCACTAAAGGAAAAGTGCAGGCAGATTTCCCAAGAAGAATGCCATTCTGTTGATGAACAGATTATACCAACTAAGAGCTGCACAAGCTTGCAACAGTACCTTCCTAATAAACCCAACAAGTGGGGTATAAAGGTTTGGGCAAGATGTGGAGTAAGTGGAATGCTTTATGATTTTGAGGTTTACACAGGTAAATCCAACAAAACAAAGACCAAACCAGAATTACTCATGGGTGGCAATGTTGTTTATCGTTTAACAAGAACCCTGCCTAGAAATGTAAATTATAAAGTGTTTTTTGACAATTTCTTCTCCTCAATACCCCTGATGAGTTGTCTCAAGAATGATGGTTTTTGGGCAGTTGCCACCATTCGGAACGATCGGCTAAAGGGGGCTCAGAATCATTTGCAAAGTGAGAAGGAGTTGAAGAAGAGTGGCAGAGGCTCCTTTGACTATGTTGTTGAGGCCAACTCTGGTACGATAGTAGTACGCTGGTTTGATAATGGCCTTGTCCAAATGCTTTCTAACTATGTAGGAAATGATCTATCTTTGCCGGCCCGTCGTTGGTCTAAAAAGGAGGGGAGGTTTATTAACATTGACAGACCGGCCATGGTTGTGGAATATAATAGCTACATGGGAGGCGTTGATTTGTGTGACATGCTTATATCTGCGTACCGCATCTGCCACCGCTCTACAAAGTACTACATGCACATTGTGTTTTATTGTATTGGAGTGGCTGTAGTCAATGGCTGGCTGTTATATAGGAGGCACATGGGCCAGAAAGATGTACCAGCAAAACGTCATTTATCTCTGCTGAAGTTCCAGGCCAGCATAGCTGTCAGCCTTACTAAAGCTGGAAAAGTTTGTGGGGAAGCTTCGAGACCAAGAAGACGACCATCTGCCAGTCCAACAAGTGCTAATGCTGTACCTTCCAAAAAACGAAAGGCGGCATCAGTACCCAATCCTACGCAAGATGTTCAATTTGATCAAGTTGGACATTTTCCAGAGTTTCAAGAGAAACAACAGTGTTGTCGTCAGTGCAAAAGTGGATACTCACACATAAGATGTCAAAAGTGTGGAGTGCATCTTTGCTTGGTTAAAGCAAGAAACTGTTTCAATGCCTTTCATGGACTGTAAAAAACTCTTTTTATTCTATTTCAGTTATTCGAACTTACATGCATGTTGTTGTTGTTCTCATTAAATCATTATAGTGTTAGCATTGAAAAAGTGCAAGCCATTATCTTTTCTCAAAAGTTAAAACCGTTCTATTCATACCAGGTACAAGGAAAGTTGATGTTTATTAAGGACTGAGTATTTCAAAAGGTGAACTATGTACATCTGTTTGGTTAGGAAATCAAATTGCCTGATGCAAAGATCATATTGTACAATCAAATTCTATGATTTGTTTACTGATTTTTAACAATGGACTTCAAAATAAGATAGAATTTCACTATTTTATAATAGCTAAAGCAATATTAATAACAACTCTGAAG